TCATCAATAACTACGTGTAAACGTCAAGTTTCGATTGCATCTGCGTTATTGTCACTTTCCAATATAGTCGATGAAGCGAGATATGTACGTTGAAACTACTTTATAACTCCTGAGGAGACCGGGAACCGCAGCTTCGGATAACGAACCCAGATCGAATACAATAAAAGAAGTCTTTATAATAATCTTTATATCTCGAAAAATTATAATATTGGTATAGTATAATCTCACTAATCCAGCACTTCGATAGATCGGCACGTCCAATAATACGGCACCTTCCGCCCATGCCTCCCTCGCCCCTCTACACCTGTGCGCTTGGATTTGTTAGTGCTTGGTAAAGCAAAAAATCCCAGATCTTTCAAGAACATTTGTCTGCCAGTCTGCTACAAGAATCAAATTAGAAGTTGGGTCACGAGAGAAGTATTCGGCGAATGGTTTCATAATGACTTTGTCCCAGAAGTCGAGAAGTTTATGAAAAGATCCAACTTGTCCATAAAAGCACGATAAAAGCATTTGATTTGTTTCAATACCTGCATAACATGGGCAGAAGAAAACGGCATGTCTGCTGAAGATATAATAATTCTTCGCAACATGTGAGAAAAGGTTTTTAAGCAAGGACTACAAGTTGCACAAAGACCTCAATTAAGGATTATTTTAAAACTATGTAATTCCATATGTATGTACTTGGTAAATTATTACATTACAAACATTTATTCCATCTATGAAATGCTTCATTTTATTCGTTACCTACGACTTTTTCACTATAATCCAGTAATCCGGACATTCCAATAATCCTGCACCCTCCGGTTTTTAATAGTGCCGGATTAGTGAGATTATACTGTATGTTTTCAACTCTACGCCCGTTTTCAGAATGTCGTATTTTGAATAAACACAAAAGGCAACCGTGTTCTTTTAGTAAATATTATTTTATTTTTAAATAGATATGTAATTCTATTGAATGCCAGACGTTGGCTGACGCTAACGCTGCGGGCGTTACAGCACTATACCATTTAAGTTTTACGTTCACACCACGCTATACTATATTGTATGGGCTTGCTCGAACTATATTTTGTACTATAGTCTGCACGAACCTCAAAGGTTCGCTTATGTGTCTCAACGGCTAAATTTAAGTTATTCACTAATCTCTTTACTACGAAATGGAAGTCCTGGTGCAAAGAGGAAAGGTTAGACAAATGCATTGTTTGATGAAAAGAAGACCTGATTCTAGAAAAAAGCGATACATACAACCACGAGATGCCCGCTTTTTGGCGAGTCAGGCGTTGCGGGATCGCAGATCCTTCTTTCTAACCCGTTTCCCATAATGTCATATATTTTATTGATTAATTACGAAAGTACTGTTCGGGCAGGCAACTCGCGTTTATGTAATTATCTTTTAAAATTAATATTTTAACACTCCTCCCCACAAGTGTTTTATTCTATAATCTCTTTATATTTTTTTCAATTTTCCGTTTTGTATAATAAAGCTATTTATTAAGTAAGATGTATTATTTATTGCATGACTACATTTTCTACTTATATTTAATGAGATTGCTCCACATTTAAACTAATTAATCCTAAATAATATAATCCCTTATCTTGTAATAGGAATTCCGGGAGAAAACTAATTTGTCACAAGCCACCCCACTCCGTAGCCAACATACAAACAAATAACTCGAGACCGTGCGTTGTTCCGTCCGCGCCTCGGTAATGGCAACTTTGTGACATTACTCACACGAGTATGCGAACTTATGACAAATCGTGCCACAAAAAGCTCTTAAACATCGTAAGCGTATGAGCATTAATTATGAACAGGGACTCTCCTGGTTTTCATTTTTGTGGGATATAAATTATAAAAGAGTTTTTTTTTTTATTTCAGCAAAATGTTTAACACTGAAAATTACAATATTAATAATGTAAATTTTAGTTATATATTACAATGTTATTATTGTTTATTTAAGTAATAAGTATTATCATACCTCAGAAATTCACGAAACGTTCAAAATGTCGAAACTGGCTTTTGTAATTTCGAATCGTATTCGCGCGAATGGTTCCATGCCATTGTACTATATTAAACAAAAGGTCGAGCCAAACAAGTAAGATAAACGTTTCCTTTTTATCTTATTTTTATTTTTAATCGTTGAAAAGGTAATGAAAACATATTCTGTGAACGTTTCAGCCGACTACCTGTTACGGTTCATACAGACCAAACAATTTGGATAGGTATGTACAAAATTGAACAGCCAGATCCTATAATTTGGGACCCATATAATTGAAATGTGGTTTGAACATTTGTATTGCAATTAAGTCGAAATCTCCAGATGAAATTAGCGTTGCAATGTCACGTCAAAATCTTTTCGAATTTATTAACATTTCCAAATATTAAAAAAAATAGTAAGTTGACTGTTCCGTACGCTTCTCGGATCCGTAAGGTTGGCGCGTAAACTGAGCATTTGCCTTTACTGACATTATTGAAGATCGTGACTGTACAGCTCGTTGATGGAGAGGTGGACGGACGGACAAAAGGAAGCTCAATAACAGGATTCCATTGAGTTCGAGATCCTAAAACATACGCAAAAGTTATTTTGGGATCAAATGGGCCCAGAGTTGTAAATAAAATAACATTTGATATGGATCAGCGATCTGAAATAAAGATACTTAGTCAGGTATTTATATAATTTGTATGTAGATAGGGATACACATTTAATAAATCAGTGTATACTCGACCCTGTGGTTTGATTGACGTTCCTTACATGGCGTAGTCGCTAATAATTTAAACTCAAGGTGGAGTTGGTTCTTCAGCCGCCGCTACCGTTTAATTTTAATAATAAGTTATTTAATATTACGTCAGGGAATTTGTGAAATGAGTGGAAAAAATTGAAAAAAGCATTCTATATATATTATGAAGCATGTAAACTATCGAAGAAAGCTCCTAAAGTACAGGTGGATATTTTATAACACGTTATTGGAGATAAATGTCATGAAGTCTATGACGAATTTTAAAGAAATTATACAAGTATGAAGCATTTATTAGAGAGATTTGATGATTTTTTTATACCAAAAAAAAAAATAAGGCGGTAGAACGGCCAAACATTTTTTAAGGAGATCAGCGAGAGATTGTATCTGTGGAACAATATACATTGTTATATATACATGTTGATATGAGGAAAAAAGGATGTCGCTTTGTCAAAGCGGTTGTTAAGGGGACCTGATATTAAATTGTCAAAAGCGTTAGAAATCTGCAATCTACCCGAAATGTCGCAAATGCAGGCAGTGAATATCAAGTCTGAATAATAATATATACAAAATCAAACAAGATTCAAACGAAAGCTTTCTACACCTAGTTAACCGTTTTTTAAGCGGTCGAGCGCCTATGTCACAGGCTTGGCGCGGTTCACCCGCCTCAACATCGGCAGCGAGCGAGCGACACACGCGGGATGCGCGCGACTCATGCCACTACGAGTTCTTTCGGGCAGCGCGCTCTTTCGTTAGGTCATATGAAAACATTTGACCACCGTCGTGATCAAGAGCAATATACTTTGAAAAATGTATGTAGAAACTGTGGCCAAGTGCATAAAAGATATGGATGTGCGGCTTACGGACAAAAAGTGAAATCTATGAATTATTTTGCGAGAATGTGTAGGGCAAGTCGAATATATGTAGTGGAGGAGGAGAAGGATTACACCGAATGGCTGATTGGTTAGTCGAATTGAGCATAAATAATAGGAACATAAAATTTAAGTTGGACATTGAAGTTGATGTAAATGTTTTTCCAAAAAATATTTAAATAAAATAAATATATAACCTAACAAGCACAACGATGAAATTACAAGGTTATTCTGGTTAGTTAAATTCCAGTAATAGGAAAATGTTATTTAAAAACAATATACAAAGATAAAACATATTTTCTTAGATGTTTTGTTTATTTTATTTACATATTAATATTTAAATTACAAAAGCTTAAAACTTAATTATAGTCTAAAAACTTAAAGAGAATTAACTACATATACAACCTCCAAAGTAAAAAAATATATCACCCCCAGCGTCGACGTAGGGAATGGTGCCCAATAGGCTGGCAGCATTTCCACCTGGATAGCAAGGCTAACCCGTTGGCCAAGGTAGCTGCCAGCCTTTTGATCACCAGTCACCTCGGTGAGTCTCTTAGATAATTCCTTAAAAAAGGAACGGGTGCTCGGACCCCATGGTCCCATAGTCTTAACAGCAAACGGCACAAATATGTAGTTCTCATTGAGAGCTGAATATTTGCGCCGCTTGGAGCATTGGACATATTGATGTTATTCTCAATTCTGCAATGGGCTCCAGTGGGCCCGCTCAGCAATTAACTAATCGTACAGTTAGTTATAATACTTACTATAATACTCGTTTCGGCAGTACAGTGTGACCTCCACATCGGTGGGGTTTTATTTTACATTATAGAGGTATTATTATTGAATATATTTACATAAATGTTACTAAAATATTAGAGTAGTGATTCATTATTGATTGAAATGTATCTTTAACAAAATTATCTTAATTTTATAAAAAAATATGTGCAATAAATTTCAGCGCTGTTACAACAATATAATAATGTTTAATGCAATTTCATAAACTATAATATAAAAATAGTTTTCCAGTGATATAATCATTGGAAAATTATTTACTTGTAATCATAAAAAGTACTATTTACAAAGAAACAAAATACATTTTGATAATTATATTGAAACTTAAAATTATTTTTGTATACCAATTAAATCTAAGACCTATGGTATAGTATATAGTGTACAAATACATAATATATGTTGTATAAAGAAATAAATTTAGTTAACCGGTAAAAAAGGAAAAGAAAATCATTGTTTTTTTTAAATATCACTCCATACAGTTCTTTACCTTTCTTTTCGAAGTCGCTTTCCATGATCTACTGTTTTTCATATAAAATAGATTTCATGAGCATAGGTACTTTATTAATGGGATCAATTCTTTAAAAGGACTTTATTTACTCTTTTCAGAAAACAGAAACTGATGCAGAGCGTTTAAGCATCGTGCCTATGTCGACTCAGACCGCCGAAGGACGGTACACGTGCGAAGTATCGGCAGACTCGCCATCTTTCCAGACAGCCCAAGTTCACACGCACATGTACGTTGTAGGTAAGTCATCACTGGCTAATAATCTTCATCAACCGCATCCACCGGTAATGTGCATTCTTTTTGTAGAGAATCACACTATTAGACCATAAGACATCAAGCGAGCCCAATACGGATCGACGAGTATTAACGACTGCAGGTTTAACTGTCGTAAACAGCTTAACGTGCTTCCTGAAGTCACCCAGCTGGGGTTAGCCATAGAGGAAATTACGTAATTTCCCCATTCACAAACCAAACACGCTAATCACTGCACCGCCATCAAGCTTCTTACCTGTACATTCGAACTGGAACTAATAATATCTTACCACAATAAAATATCATTAGTTCCACAAAACGGCAACGGCTTCTGAATCGCGCTATCTTTTCGTAATATACTACATACAAAATTTATTCGAGTGACATATTTCAGCTCCTGAAAAGATCGGCGGTTATCATTCGTATTAAAAAAAATATCGAATTGTAAAGACGCAGTTTGACTTTGATATAGATATTTTTTTTATTGAGATACATAGTTTGATATTAATTGTATTTTTTATTTCCTACATAGTAATTAAAGACTCCTACTCAAATACACACATCAACAAAAAATTTCGATCACTTTGAAAAATAGATTGTTTTTTGTGTTACACAAGACTTTTTTGTAATTTCTTTTTGTGATAAGATTCTAAATTTTACAATTATAATTAGAACGTCAAACAATAAAATAATTCAATTGTTTTTTCATTTAAAAAGACATGCAATCCAAGCTGACCCTCATTCAGAAATCTGACTTAATCAATATTATCGAATTTTAAAATATTTTTTCACGGAAAGTTGTGATTTAAAATCGAGCTGTTTTACGAGCCAGAATTGTAACTTTGAGGGAAGAAGGCTATTCTACGTGAGAAATAGCACGCAGAGTTACCATATCCCACCCTTGTGTAGTAGTTACTACACAAGGGTGGGATATGGTAACTCTACGTTGAAGAGGTACCACGTTACAAGATATGGCAACACTTGGAGGAAAAGGCGTGCTCAAAGCCTCATCCCAATTTGGAGTCACTTAAGACATCCTTGATTAAGGCAGTCGCCGATATTGACATGGACCTCGTTCGTGCTGCGATAGACGACTGGCCGCGCAGATTGAAGTACTGTATTCAAAATCACGGAGGTCATTTTGAATAAACTTTATTGTCATAAGAATTATGTTTTGCTAAGTTCATTTTGGTATATAAATGGTTACATAATGAATAAACTTGTTTCAATTATTTTATATTAAACATGTGACAGAATTTATGACCTGACTAGGTATAAGTTATGTGTTATTTGGGAATTTTGCTGTCGTTTCTTAATAAGACCTTTTTGTTGTTTTTATATACTCTCTTTTTCATCGTTTACTATATTTTTTTGTGTCACTTAATAATATTTATAGAATAAAGAATTATATAACGAACCCGAGATTTTCTTTTCTAATCTTTCGGCACAGGTAACATATGTTGATAAGAATTACTTATGAGCTATGACTTCGTCGGCATTATCTTTCGGTTCGGTTTTTTGAGACAGATAGGGGTTTTTTTCCACAGGAACCTAGCATCTCGTGGATGAAAAGTATCCTATGACTCCATCCAGATCATAAACTATATGCCTACCATATTTTATCAAAATCTGTTCGGGTACAAGCACGAACTTTAACAGATCCTTATTCATAAAGCTTATTCATATATAGGGAAACTAAGCAGCGGCCTACCCGACGTATGAACAAACTGGCTTTTTTATTAGGAACTTTGACATGGCGATACCAAATTTTTTTGCTAGTTGTTCGTGCTTGGGGTACAGAAATTTTTGCTTGAAAGAATAAGAAACATTCATTATTTCATACAAACTTTCGCATTATTTTTAATATTAGTAAGAGTATGATAGGATAAGATCATACTCTCATATTTTATTATAATGATTGATATTTCACCCAGTCTTTGGTCCATGGCACTTGTGATTCCGGCCCATTCTCGGATATTGCACAGCAGACATCTTCCTACGTGCAACAGCTCTTCTTCCAGCGAACTTACCCATCATTAGCAACTAAAAATAAAACTCGTATCTGGTTTGCCCTAACGCGTTACTCATATAGGCAACCTTTCTTCTTTTCCAGACGTTTTCTTGATAAAGCAACAAGGCCAACGCGGCCAACAGTATCTGTGTTGCTCTATGGCTTCCTCTATCTATTTATTACAACTAAATTTTCCTCTGATGGGTTGAGCAGTAATCATAGTTTCTGCAGTTTACCTTCCTTAAAAGATAATCTTCAGTCTGTCATGTCAGACGTCTCCAAAAATTTTAATGTTGTACATATCAACGCTCAGAGTATTGTAGCTCACTATCCTGACTTCCTTGCTACCTTTTCTGACAAGAACATCCATGCTGTACTTGTTTCAGAATCTTTTCTTCATCCTTGTCTTCCATCTAATTCTTACTCCCTCCCTGGATTTCAGCTTATTCGCAATGATCGTACTAATACATCTCATGGCGGAGTGGCTATTTATCTGCGAAATCATATTTCATTTTCTGTGATAAGTCGATCAATGCAGCCCCCCCCCCCCCCCCACCCGATACTGCAGAACACCTTTTTCTTGAAGTTACTCTATCTCACTCTAAAATTCTACTGGGAGTTTACTACAGCCCATCTCTTAGAGTCAATTTTTTTTCATCTTTCAGAAACTACTAGAAGATTTGACCCCGTCCTACAGCCATTCTATTATAATGGGTGACTTTAACACATGTCTTTTAAAAGGCGATCTACGGTCCAATACCTTAAAGTCACTCGTTAATGCTTGTAACATGAATATTCTCCCCCTTAATGCCACTCACTATTTTCCTGATTGTTCTCCTTCTCTTCTTGACCTGATTATTGTTTCTTCCTCCGAGCATGTTGCCAAACATGGTCAATTCACAGCCGATGCATTCTCTTACCACGACCTAATATATCTTTCCTATAAAATACGTCCCCCTAAGGCTAAGCCCAAAATTCTTCTGCAACGTAATTTTGGTGGTATGGATCTGGACAAGCTGCGTGATGATGCTGGATCTGTTGATTGGTCAGCGGTAAACAACGGTGCTACTGTTGATGAACAAATAAATTTATTTAACAACCTTTTGATCAAACTCTACGATGTTCATGCACCTATTACGCCTATTAAGATCAAACATTTGCCCGCACCCTGGCTGACTAATGACATTAAATCTTTAATGGCGAAAAAAAATAATGCTAAGGCTAAGTACAAATGCAACCCCACAGACAGTAACCGTGACAAGTATCATCGAATCAGGAATCGCTGCAATACAGTGTGCAGGGACGCACAACGCCGCCACATTCATAAATCCGTGGACAGCGGTGATCCCGCTAAAGTCTGGAAATTCTTAAGGTCTCTGGGTGTTGGCAAACCCCGAAATCAAAATTTGGCTCAAAGTTTCGACATCAACCGCTTAAATAGTCATTTCTCTGTATCGTCTGCTCTTGACGCTCATGTCAAAGAGAAAACTATAAGGTATCTTTCTTCTTTGCCAACACCAGATTTTGCTCCGTTTACTTTTAGTCAATTTTCCGATAGTGATATTGAGAAGAACATTCGTGCCATTGATTCTAAAGCGGTGGGTAATGACAATATTGGCCGTAACATGATTATCCCCTTACTCGACATCCTAACTCCAGTTATTACCAATATTTTCAACAAATCCATTTCCTCTGGAAGTTTTCCAGGAATTTGGAAAGATGCTCAAGTTATTCCACTTCCCAAAAAATCAAATCCTGATGCTATGTCCGATTTTCGTCCTATTTCCATTCTTCCTTTCCTTTCCAAAGTTCTTGAGCGTCTAATACACAATCAACTGAATGAATTCCTTCGAATGAATAACTTGCTAAATCCTTTACAATCTGGTTTTCGTCCTAGCCATAGCACAGCTAGTGCACTTGTCAAAATTACCGATGACATTCGCTTTGGCATGGAGAGTCAGAAACTCACAACTTTAACTTTATTAGACTTTAGTAATGCCTTTAACAATGTTGACTTTGAAATCCTGTTGAGTTTACTGCGTTCTCTTAATATATCTCCTACGGTCATTGACTGGTTTCGTAGTTATCTACATGGACGCCGGCAGCGTGTAATTGTAGGTGAATCCTTTTCTCAATGGTGTACTCTAACGGCCGGTGTTCCTCAAGGTGGCGTGCTATCTCCTTTGCTTTTCGCTATTTTCATTAACTCAATTACCCTCAAGTTAACTTCTACCTGCCATCTGTATGCAGACGATCTTCAGATTTACACACAGGAACGACTGAAAAACTTAAATGAAGCAATTAAAAGCCTAAATGCAGACTTAGCACTTATAACGGAATGGAGCAATGCTTTTGGGCTCAAAATCAATCCAACAAAAACGCAGTGCATAACTATTGGTAGCCCTTACTTTATATCTCGGATTGACTTTAAGCAGCTCCCATCAGTTACTTTAAATGGAACTGTTATTCCATTTTCTGAAACAGTTCGGAATTTGGGGGTCATATTTGATAACACTCTATCTTGGTGTCCTCAGGTTGCTGAGGTCAGTAGGCGAACTTTTGCTGCGGCTGGATCTTTACGACGTTTACGTAATTTCTTGCCCACTGCCACCAAAATTTCTCTTGCAACTTCTCTTCTTCTACCTATTCTCGATTATGCAGATGTTTGTTATCCCTATCTTACCTATGAACTTCTAAGTAAACTTGAACGTCTGCAAAATTTTTCCATCAGATTTATTTACGGTTTACGTAAGTACGACCATGTTTCTTATTACAGACAGAAATTGAAGTGGCTTCCCATTCGTCGCCGCCGTGATCTGCATATATTATCCCTACTCTTCTCAGTACTGTTCAATCCAAAAGCTCCTGTCTATCTCAAAGAACGATTTCAGTTACTTTCTTCTTCACATAATCTTCCGCTTCGTTCATCTGACAATCTCCTGATTTTTACTCCTCCTAACTTTTCGAAAGCGTATAG